TTCCATGCCGATTATATTGATTATATGGTGAGGACAAGAGTAAAAGCACGAAGGTTGATGCCGTGCAATTTATATTGATTCTTTTGGTGAGGACGAGAGTAAAAGCATGAAGGGTGATGCCGTGCACTTGTTTGATCCCTGATTCTTGCTGATAATTGAGATAGGGTGTTCCTTGTATTTAACCACTATCTTTCTATTCTTAATTGATGTTTCCCCGCAGCATGTTACCCCCTCCCATACTTAACTGTACATTATTGTTCTTCTTTTCCGCTGTATATAATTTAACTGTACAGGTTTCTTTGGTAGTCTAGTCCTAACCTCATCACTACTTCGCCGAGGTTAGGCTAGGCACTTACCAGCACATGAGGTCGGTTGTGCTGATACTACATTCTGCACTGTGTGCAGATCCCGGAGCAGCAGTATTCGGACCTTAGCTTGGGTGGGTGCCTTCAGTCCAGTTGGAGATTCCGAGGTAGTCCTGCAGGCGTCCGCAGGCCCTGGCTTCTCCCTCTATCCCTTCATCTTGTTTCATATACTTATTTCAGAAACAGTGTATTAGCTATCTTTCAGACCTTGTTTGTAATAAATTCTAGACTGTCTGTGAAGTGTGACACTAGTTCTGGGTAGATTTTGCTTAAGATGTTGCATTGGATATTTATTCAAATGTTTTATCGTTTTCTTCCGCTTGCTTTAAATTTTCGTTGTTTATAACTGTTGATTCACACTTGTTAAAGAAATTAAAAATGGGAAAAAGATAATTGGTGTAAGTGGTCGGCTTGCCTAACTTTCACTAGTAGGCACCATCATGACTCCCGGGGGTGGCAAATCTGGGTCGTGACATGAAGCAAAAATAAGTACAAACCAAAAATTACACATCATCCCCGACAGGATAAGCATCTTCATACCAAGAGTCAGAGGTAAGACGGTTCACATCATAAGAGTTGATTTCATCCCCGTCGGGCGTAAGAGGGTCGTATCCGCATGCCTCATGAGCTGCACGAGCTTTTGCACGCACACCCTGGAGTTCTACTTCAGATGCCCTCCCGTCAGCATGAAGAGCCTTGTACATGTCGAGCTGGGCCTCAGTATGAACCCACAACTCGTATAAATGACGAGGCACGATAGGGTCAGTCGAGGCACGAGATGTAGAAGGTTGTGAGCGTCGACTCACGTCCTTTGCTCTCAACGACGCCACTTGTCCGTTTAGTATGGATAGCTCTGCCTCCAACTCCTTAACACGCCCCTCAAGCTCCGCTACCTTAAGGTCGAATGCCTCCTTCTCCTTGGTCAGCTCCGAGCTACAGACACAAAAGGTATTTTCCAAGGCCACCATTTCAAAAATAGCAGTCGCCAGCTTATCGGCATTGACACTCAGCTCACCCTTAAGCCCATAAATCTCCACCGCCTTCGTACCCAATTCAGCGGTCAGACTGGCCACCTTTGCTTGCAAGTCGACATTCTCGACCATCACCCCTCTACTTAACTCAAGCCCATCTTCCCTCAGCTCCTCGACCTTGTGCACCAGTTGAAAATAAGGGTCCTGATTATAAATGTCGTCCATTGCACGATGCTTAGTGCGATATTGTTGATATTTGGAAGAAATCTTCCCGTAGATGGATGTCCTCTTCCTTTCTCGGAGCTCGCTCGGTCTCCATGATAAGGGTCTAGCACAAGAAGAAAGAAGTTAAGACAAAAAGACAAGTCAACAATAACAACGCAAACCCAACGATGAAAAGGAAAAGAAAGACAACTACCCGCAAGGCCATGCCAGCAATGTTCTGAGACAACTCCATGTCGCTCATCGCTCTATGCACCTCGCTCTCGGGGGAAGCATAGAGAGGAGCTAAAGTAGATGCCACTTGATCGCAGTTCGACAACAGGTTGTAGTCCCCTGGGACAACTATATGATGATCAGACCCTTCCACCCTGACCTCCAGATGAGTATGGCGCCCTACAAACTCACGAACGTCCTCCGAGTCGACATCTGAACTCGAGCCTTCACCGTCGACGTGCAGTCCTCCTCTGACGTTGGATGACGCGCCACCTTCAGCGAAGCGCAGGAGCCGACTCTTGGGTAAACTCCTTCCAGTTGGGAAGACCTCCCCACTAAGACGGTGTCAGCCATAAATGTGGGCACATGTGCCTTCTGCGATGCACCCACCCTACTTCTACCAATGCCCATGACCACATCCTTCCCAAGCTCCACTCTCCTCCTTTTTTTCAATGACAACTCGTCCCCGTTAGAGGATTCGTCCAAGAGGTGAGGGGTCGATACGGAAGAGGCCTCCTCCCTCACGACCATATCCCGAGAGGGACCTTCCATTTGAACCAGCTGAGGACCACCCCCTCGAATAGATTCAGTCAAAGTAAATTGCATTCCTGCAGCAGCGATAGCCTATCAGAATGCAGGGACTGGGGCCCTCCGCCTGGAAGCTCCCCGACGTGTCGTCATGAAGAGTCGAATCAATAGATGATATTGTATAACCAACGAAGTGATATAGGGGGAAAACCTTTACTAGATGAACCTCTTGGGCCATAACGTTTTACGAAGGCGGGTCAATCTCGGGTCTCCGCTGTATGGGGAAAAGGACGGGCTACCCAATCCCTTATACCCATAATAGGGCAGGGTGGACGCCCCATAGCTGCAAACGAGAAGCAAACAAACCCTATAATGAATGAAGAGGAAAAGAAAGAGAAAAATTAGTGGCAACACTTACGAGTCTCGTTCCACCACTCCGGGAATCTGGCGGGGTCCGAAACAATTGCTCGGTTTTGACAAAGAAGTACTTATGCCAAAACTAGCGACTTGCTCGGTCGTCGGTCCCAACCACCAGCCCTTTTGTTCCACGGTGCCTCAAATGCACCATAGTGCCTCTGTGGAAGTTGGGTGAGAACAGGTGCAAGAGGTGGTGGATAGTAACCTCGCATCCCGCCAACTCCGTATACTTTGTCAATAACAGAATTATCTTAAGCGTGTATGGTGAAAGTTGCACCAGATAAACTTGATAGAATCTGCAGAACTCTTCCACTAACAGAAAGAGGGGGAAAGAATGACCAATCACGAAAGGGTACTCGTAAAAAGCGTAGTACCCAGGCCTATTGACTTCCACGAAGTCCCTTCCCGCCGGAACCATGTCAACATGAGCGGGGATGTTATACTTTGTACGAAGAGCATCAATGTGAACTTGATTCGTTTCAGAGAGAACGTGGGAAGGAGTAGGAGTAGGAGGAGGGTCCTTGAGGAAGTCGCTTCGAGACATGGGGCGTCTCGGCAACAACTCCTCTATAGTAGGAAAACTATCCCCCTCCTCCACCGTCATATCTTCACCGCCAGAGGGGAGTGCCACAGACAATGGGGTGGCCTCAGAAACCCCCTCACGAGATCGTTGTGTTCTTGGCATTTCTTTGATGTAAAAGGTGTTAAAATAGTAGAGAAGGTTGTGAACAAAGAATCGAAGAAGAAGAAGCAGAAGGTTGTTAGAACAAACTTGTGGGAAATGAGAAAGGATAACCAGAAATGAAATGGCCAAGAGTGTTTGAAAAAACAAACCCTCTACGTATTTATAGGATTGGGTGGCGCCAGAATCAAAGCGGAAGGTTGCAGAGTGGCACCAAAATCGAAGCGACAAGCCCTCAACCCCTGTCTTGAAAACATGCATAATGATGACACACGTGGAGATGACATTATTTCTCGATAAAATACGCTATCTGGTGTCTTGCTGAACAGCTGACCGCCCATTATTGGCCAAGACGTAACGCCTCGTAAGACCAAATTTCTTTATAAGAGCTAGTGGTGTCCACTTACCGAGAACGCACCAAGTTGCAACCTCGACAAGCGGAGGGACTAACTGTATAGGTCCAAATTTGGACGACCACGACTGTTGATGAGTACGACAAGCGACGAGATCCTCGTAGCTCGACATCCTGCAAGGGACGACAGACAAGCGAACAAGAGGTTGTACGACCTTTGCAGTAGTGTAGGTCCATTAGGGGGCATTAGGAATATTCTTTCGAATATTCTCTATGGTTTGTCTTTTAGGGTTTAGAAGGGGTTTGTCCCTTATATATATTGCGTAAAGACAACCATGTAGGGGTCTTCTTCTGCACTTTTCCAACTAAGAACACTTGCTGTAAATACTTGCTTACAAAACGATTAATATCAGTATTGTTCGATCATTCTTGAGAAGGTTAAGAAATATTATCTTTTGTATTCATCTCGTATATCTTTTGTTCTAGAGATTATTATACTGAGCTAAGATTTACCCCTTCATTTTCTTTAATTGATTTATTCGAAAAGATCCCAATATTTTTTTAGTCAAACAGTTAATGGGATAAGGTGGAAAATTCAAGATTAAGTCTATTTTATCCCGCACCTTAACTCACCTTATTTTACGTTATTCCGTGTACCAAACGACCCCTAACAACGAATTAATTGGAGTTAAAAACCTGGTAATTACAACTCTACCTTCACATCCAAGTTTCTTTTTAATTCATTGTCCCCTTTCTACCCGAAAAAGATTATTAAAAAAAAAGTTACCTAAACAACTATTCCCTCCGTTCATTTTTACTTGGCATGTATACTAAAAATAGATTTTCATTTTTATTTGTCACTTTACGTATATCAAAAAAAGATAATTTTTTTTCCTGTTATACCCATAATATTTATTACTCATTTCAAATTATTTTTTCAAATCTAATAAAACATGCATCAATTAATATGCGTATTATGGTAAATTATATATTTTATTTATTATTTCTTAAAAGGCGTGAAAAAACGAATGGTGGAAATACTTGATTGGGCTTCGAGACACAGAACTTTAAGACAATATATAAGTAGAAGCAAACAAAAAATTGTGCCAAGTCACGCCTGGATAAAGTTCCTTCGACTATTTGTTTTGAAATTATTATAAAAACGTTGAATTAAATCAAAAGATGTCAAATTTGGTGCATACAATTCGTAGAAGCAAACATCAGATTGAAAGCTAATATTAACGTGTATTGCCAGCGCATGAAGAAAGACAGTCATTTTGAACTAGTGGGAAGTTTCCATTTCCTCATTTATTTCTAGTTTAATAAGTACTTTGGTTAGGTCAATACCAAACTTATATTCCTCTTTTCAACACGCATAAAACTCCCATCCATAACGTCTTTTCTTTCGTCTTCTATTCTTCTTCAACCTCAGCTACCTCACATATTCGAACCGATCATAACTTTCATTTATATAATCATTATATCAAGCTCATTTCCAATCTCCTCTCTACCTTTCAATTCATTGCAATTTCTCAGGCCAATATTCAACGAATCCGAATTCAAGTCAAGGAGGCACGAAGAGCTCACAAAGAGTTTCGCTATTTAGCTCTTCAAAATCCAAGGGAGAGATTAAATTGGAAAGGCCCCTTATTTTAAATAGGGTGTAATTAGCGTTAATGGACATGTCTCTACGAGCTAGATCAACCATCTCTAAACAAGAATCGACATCGTCTGATGCATCCGAAATTCCATTACTCCCTACTAATAATAACAACGGCAACAACAACAATAATCTTGTACCAGATTCTTTAGAACGGCCGCTAGTACCACGACTGTCAATTTCTCAGCGCGCCTTAGAAACCACCGCAAATTTAGCCAACCTACTTCCAACAGGAACCCTCTTAGCATTCCAACTTCTAATCCCAATTTTCACGAACAATGGCTCGTGTGACACAGCCACACGTCCCATGACATTAATCCTCCTTGCATTACTAGCCTTTTCTTGCTTTATAGCTTGTTTTACTGATAGCTTTAAAGCACCAGACGGACAAATTTACTATGGCTTAGCCACATTCAAAGGGTTGTGGATTTTCGATTACAACGCAGCAACAGCTTCAGGAGTTCCTAATGAATTGAACAAGTATAGAGTTGGGTTCATTGATTTAGTACATGCTGTGCTATCTGTTCTTGTATTTGTTGCAGTAGCTTTGAGAGATAAGAATGTGGTGAGTTGCTATTATCCAAGTCCAAATCATGAAACAAAACAGGTACTTGATGTGGTTCCTATTGGGATTGGGGTAATTTGTAGCTTGTTATTTGTGGTCTTTCCAACAAGGAGACATGGCATTGGCTTCCCTGTCACACCTGACAGACGGTAATTTTTTTTTTTTGTTAATGTCTGTAACAAGTGAAAACTGTAACATTTGTTGTTGTATTTATCATGGATCCATCTTTGATTTGTAGTATTATGTTTTGCAAAGTCATTGATTATTTAATTAATTTACCTGTAAAAAAATTCATTTCAATATACTATAAAGATTAGTATCACCGATTCTGAGTTTATTGGTGATAAGATGGATGAAAGTCAACTTTTGCCACCTCAAGTGGGGCCTTGAAAGGGAATATGTCAACTACTAATAACGAATATTACAACTCTTGACGTGAGATAGACAAATAGTTCGTTTGACCAAGCTTCTTTATCAGTTAAAAGTATTTTTTTTTCTTAATTTGAGGTGTTTGACCGATTTTTTTTTTTTTAAAAAAATATTTTTAGCTAGAAACAGAAGCAATTTTTAAAAAGCAAATAAATATGACAGAGTTAGAGGCGTTGGCTAGAAGCAGAAATAATTTTTAAGAGACAGCCTTTGGCCAAACAGGCTATAAAGCTGGCTTACGTACCCAGAAAAAATGAAAATTGCAGCATTACAAGATTATAAAAGACAGTCAATGTTGAAACCATTAATCTATCTATACTATATTAATAGTACGAAGGTCCTTAACGAAATATTTTTCGTTTTTTTTACTCTTTAAGATTAGATTTCACATTAAACAAAATAGTAATTTAATTATTTTGCTAATATTTAGGAATTCTAAATCAACTAAATTTTGTGTATTATTTTCCTAATATTTAGAAATTCCAAATCAACTTAAATTTTATATATTAAATATTCGTTGTTTAAACTTCTATGTGATGAGGCCTAACGTATGCTGGAAGCATAAAACAAACTAAACAAAACATTTCCTTTTTTTAGAAAAAGAAAATTTACGGCTTAGAATAGGTAGTAGATTGTTGTTGGCCAATGAAACGTATCATTTTTATGTCCTAATTTTAGTATAAAAATATCCAAAGTACTTTCAAATAATCTTTTGGTCACGATCCTAAAACCGACCCGATCGCGATGACGCCTATCGTAAAATTAGATCAGCCGACACAACTTCCGAATTTAACCCTTTAATCAATAATTGTGAGCACGCGACTTTTGTTTCGCGCGACAATCGCTCCAAAAGAAATAAAAAATAATAACAATTGGTCCTGCTGTACAATTTTTGGATTTTTACGTGGCACTTTGTTAATTATTTATGATTTTTTTTGCCCATTTTATTTTATTAAAACAAAATACAAAAAATGTATGTGTCATACATAATTTGAACCGTAATCCGGTTGTTAAATAGAAAATCATAAATAGGCATCTTTGTCCGTGATTTTGTTTTTGCTTGATTTTACCTGTTTTAAAATATTTTAAGGTGTGTGCAAATAATTGTATTAAGTGTTTATTTAATTTTAATTTGATTTACTTAGGTTTTGTTTTTAAAATAAAGAAGAAAATAAAATAATAATAATAAAAAAATCTTTTCGGACTTGGGCCAATTTTAAACAAATTGGCCCAAACAAACTCAGCCCAAAACCCCTGTGAAACCCGGTCCACACCAGCTAACACCCAGAGCGTCCAAACGACGCCGTGTTAATCCAGTCTGATCTGGGCCGTTGATCTCAAATTGATCAACGGCCAAGATCAATTCCCCATAACCCACTGAGGAACCCGACCCGTTTCCACCCGGACCGACCCAAACCCCTTTAGGATGAAACGACACCGTTTCCCCATCAGATGAAAGATCTGGGCCTTCCATCTTGCCTCATCCAACGGCCGAGATCAACCCACCCATCCCATATATAATCTTCCAACCATACCCTGCCCCCCTATCCAATACCCCGACCTTCGTCTTCACAGACCATTCCCCTTCAAACCCTAGCCGCCCCCATCTCCCTTCACCAGAAACCCGGCGGCATGAACGCCGGTGACCTTCCCCTTAACACCATAGAACCCCCTTGCCATCCTGAACTTGGATCTGTTAACCACCTAGCTCGAATCCCTTCCCACCTTCTCGAATCTTCATTTGAAGATTCGAGTCGGAACCTGACTTACACCGTTTGACCCCAGTTTCACACCAGACACTCCCCAGACCCCCCTCGTGACCAAACCATGCTTGGTTTGGTCCGAATCTGACCAGGGAAGCATGAATCCCAGATCTGATTTTTGGAACCATAGGGTTCCTCGTCGATGGTCCGTGTCTTGTTCAAGCCGAAGAGATTAAGGTCTAATGGACCTTAATCGAAGTGTTTCTCATCTGAGAAACACTTCGATTAAAGTCCGTTCAGCCTTAAGAAAGGTCTGTTCGAGTCCAAGCTAGGGTCTTTTGATTTTTCGGATTTTAAAGTGAGTTTTGCTTTCTTTTCTTTATTTGTTTTAGTCCATGTGATTGTTCTAAAGGCTGTTCATGTTTCGTGAAATCTGTGTTTTGAGTTTTATCAACTGTGTCCTGTCCACCTTGCCTGAACCTTTGTTGTTTGATTGAGTTTCTTCTTCTACTTGTTCTGATAATGTGTATGTATGTATTTGTTGTGCAATTGGTTGAATTTCAAAATTGAACTGATTAACTGATTCCTCGGGTACAATTCTGCTTAGTCAATACAATTCGAATCATGTGTCCTATACTGTTAAATGTCTGATTTTGGTTGTATGTGTTATAACTAATATAGTCGAGTCGACAAATGTCGTCAATGAATTTCAGTAGTTCAAATGTTAACAATTGAACCTGTTGCCTGCTGCAACTTTGTTTGAATCAAAGTATGAATCAGTTAGGAATTGAATTTAGCTACTTATAGTTGTTAATCTGAATCAGAAATATAAAAGGATTGGTTTTGTTTAGTTACAATCAGAATTGGAGGGCATGTGCACTTGTGCACAACATGTGCATAAAGGCCTTTGTTACATTTAAAATAGTTTGACAGCATATGCTGTCAGATTATACTCTGCTGCCCATATCCTGCTTTAGTTTAGAAATATTAATCCTCACTTAAAAGGTAAGTCTGCCAGGAAATATCATGGGGGTTTATATACTTAAAAGTTTGAGTGGAAACTGGAAAAAAAAAGAGCACATGGGAGGGTGTTTGGTTGATTGATGAACAGGCTGTTAAAGGGCAGACTTTAGGCTTATAAAAGGAAGAACTTCCATCAGTTTAAAGAGGACAGCCAGAGGACAGACATAAGAGGGGGATAAAAGATAGAGAGAGGGAGAGAACTAAGAAGGAGGAGAGCTGAAGTTCTGAGAAATA